GCGCTTTACTTTGGTTATGTTATAATTATCAATGTGGTGTTCATGCAGCAGTTGTTTTATGTTATCATCTTCTTTACGTCTCTCTACAGCAAAGGTGGGTGACAGTCCTGTCTGCAGATCATCCCACTCTTGCTTTCCATGCAAGTGTAACAAACCCATTTGGTAAAGGGGCTTTGATCAACTTACTCAGACAGTTTGCAAAGGTAAAGAGAAAGTTTTGATAAGATTTATATGGGATTTATGATAGTATTATTTCATTGATTAAGAAATATGGTTAATTTAGAACTCAATTGTTGAATGAAGAAAGGTGTTAATGTCAAATTCCAGCTCAAGAAAATGAAACTTTCTCACCCGCATCATCTTCACTTTGTTATACTAACTGATGTTAGATTTTTTAAGACCTTCTCTTAATCTCATTGCCCATAAAGGTGAGGACTTCCTTCAAGCCTAAGCAGTTACCGGGACTCAACAAAGAGAAAATGATTGAATTAGTAGCATAAATAGGACTTGCATATAACTGTGCTTCAATTCCGGGGTTAAAGACTCTAATGCAGGGCGAGACATCCCTTGGCAGAAAGGTTACATAACAAAACGAGTGATAATCGTGGTGTTATGTATGTTTTCCTGGTTTGTTTTTCGAATTTTTACTCTTTCCTTTCCTTTGACAGCTTCACACTGACAAGAAGCAAATAAGGTTAGTTGTAACGTCCAGCGCTTGTAAAATTTTTCAGTTAATAGCAGATAGACGTAAACCAAGAGAGCATATCTTAAAACCAAGGCACTGAGCTTTTCTTGTGTCTGTTCAATACCTGGAATAGTTGACTTCCCCAGAGATGTATCTGAGCATATTTTCGCTCTAAATTAGAACTGCAATGTTTAATGTGAAGTATTATATTTTTCTCTTTTGAAGTGTTGGCGTTATTGGTTACCCTAATGTCGGAAAGAGTTCCATCATTAACACACTGAGAGCCAAGAAAGTCTGTAACGTGGCACCAATTGCTGGGGAAACCAAGGTACAAAATTGATTTCCATTTTTCTCCTTTACTTTTCATTTTTTTCCTTCTTTTCATTTTTTTCCTTCTTTTCATTTATCATAATGCTGGTATGAATGCATCAGATGTTTAGTTTTATGAATTACAGTTCTGCTAAGTTTAAAGTGAAAATGGGTTTCCGGTGATATATGACAATCCCCGCCTTGTTACAAAGCATCCTGTTATCTCTCTGACCCAACCTGATCACCTTCGTTCCAGGTGTGGCAATACGTGACACTGATGAGACGAATTTACTTAATTGACTGCCCAGGGGTCGTGTATCCAAGTGGTGACTCGGAAACTGAGATCATACTTAAAGGCGTGGTAAGGAACCTCTCTATAGAGCCATTAGTTTGCTATGTGGTACGTGTTCCTGTGTGCCCAAGTGCGTAGGGTGCTCTTAGAATTACCAGCACTGAAAACAATTCTGATCCTGGCAGTGTGTAAGACGCTTGTCACCTGTATGAGTCTTCAGCAAGTTCTCTGTCGTTTAAGGTGGCTAGTACTAGTTTCCTCGCGCGGGGAACAGGTCACTCTTGCGTCATGCGCGTGAGAAACGTGCGAAAGAAGCGCGAGATTAAAAGACGAAAATTCAAAACAAAGATGCCGGCGCGAGGCTTTATTTCTACTTTTGTAAGAAGTTTACCTAACAGCGTGTATTTGATGTGTTGAACGGCCACTGCGTATGCAGGAGACAGAAACGAAGATAAAGAAGACGATTCTCGGAGACAAAAAGGTTGCT